TCCGGCTCTATCCTGATTCTAATCTAATAGCGTCCTTCTCCCAATCTTAAGTGAAACCATTCCTGGGGCTTGATTTAGAGGCTAATATCCCAAGACAATTCCGTCTTTTATTCCATGCATTTATACACGACATTCTCCCAATTAAGATAAAAAGGCATCAATCTAATTTGTGTTGGGAGACTGGCGTTCGCTCGACGTTCTCATTTTAGGGCTATTATTTTGGGCTCAATTTGGTGATGCCCCCAAATGGGACGCTAATCAGGCGGTATAGGAATTCGCCGAGCCAAAGCCCGGTGCCCTGGGGGCATCTTCCCCTGGAGCTGAAATAATTAAGTTTTATTAGAACCTACAAAGTGGAATTCTCTCTCTTTAAAAAAACTGGTTTAATGAAGTGAGGGGAGCATGGCTGGCTGGGGAATTCTGGGAGTTGAAGTCCAGGCAGCCAACTCATAAAACATTCCTAGGCCTGTTTTAGTAGTTGCCATAAAAAGGAGGGGGGGAGGAGGAAGGAAATCTGGAAGAGCAGTGCAGTAGTTTGGAAGCGGAAGTACATTCCAACTCTTTATCTTTAAAAGACTGTAACTAAACTACCAGAGCTTTTGCCCAGGAATATATTTAATTGGAGAACGTGAAGGTGCTCAGTTGGAGAATCTGATTTATGACACACCCAGAGGGGAGGAAACAGGGTCATAGGGGACTGTGAATGACGTGGGCCAGGGTGGGCTTCATACAGGGCAGGGCCAGGATGTAGACTCTAATGAATCCTTGGAAGTTTTTTGAAGTTTGGCTCAAGAATCATGATTGAATTAGGGCGATCGCTGGAATCCTGGCACAAGCATCTGCAAGCTGCCAGATTTGGAACAACCTCCCCCCCCCCCCACTGCCCTGGGTGAGCTGTCATTGCAGGTAGTCCTCGACTTACAACAGCTCGTTTAGGGACCGTTCACAGTTACAACAGTGACTTCTGTCCGTTTTTCACCCTTATGACCATTGCAGCAGCATCCCTGTGGGTCACATGGTTCAACATTCAGGCACTGGACAATGGACTCCTATTTATGACGGTCGGGGTGTCCCAGGTTCACGTGATTCCCACTCTGGTGACCATCCATACATCAGTATCTGTATCTGTCTATCTAGCCAACCATCAATCTGTATCTATATCTATTTATCTATTCATTCATCCATCTATCTATCCATCAGTATCTATATCTATCTTCCTTCGATCCATCTATCCATCCATATCTATATCTATTTATCTATTCATCCATCCATCAGTATATA